GGCATGATGGCATGGCATGATGGCATGGCATGATGTTATGGCTTGATGGCATGGCATGATGGCATGGCATGATGGCATGGCTTGATGGTATGGCTTGATGGCATGGCTTGATGGCATGGCTTGATGGCATGGCATAATGGCATGGCTTGATGGCATGGCTTGATGGCATGGCATAATGGCATGGCTTGATGGCATGGCTTGATGGCATGGCTTGATGGCATGGCATGATGGCATGGCATGATGGCATGGCATGATATTATGGCATGATGGCATGGCATGATGGCATGGCATGATGGCATGGCATGATGGCATGGCATGATGGCATGGCATGATGGCATGGCATGATGGCATGACATGGTTAAGATAAATGCCTCCGGTCAAACAAGCAGGACCCACCTCTTCTCTCGTTGAGGCAGCACCCCCACTAGCAGCACCGGCGGCACCACTAAAATCACCAGCAACATTGCCACTGGCAGCACCAGAAGCACCGCCGCTAGCAGCTCCACAAGTTGCCACGACCCTTAGCTCTGCCGCACTGACGGCAGCATGTGTTGACGCGGACGTGACATAGTACGCTGACCACTAACAACCAGGACCCACCTCTTCTCTCATTGAGGCAGCACCCCCACCAGCAGCACCAGCGGGAGCAGCACCAGCGCCACCACTAGCATTAGCCATGACCTTTTGCTCTGCCGCACTGACAGCAGCATGTGTTGACGCGGATGTGACATAGTATGCGGACATGCACAGCTGTATGAGAGCAGGGAGGGTGCCGGCTGGTGGGGAGGGAGACGGAGGAAGGGAAGCAAAGGTGAGTAATATTGATTCTACTGGACCTTACACGTGAGGGCATGAGTAAAGATTGAGTTTACTAAAACTTAGAAATTCTTGAGTAATTCTTGAGTTTACTTTAACTTGGACATTTGGGGTTGAGTGATTCTTGATTTAGCAAGAACGCAAGCATGAGGAGGTGAGTAATTCTGGAGGTTACTACAACGTTAGAATTAGACACGAAAGGGTGCGAGATTTCTCGATGGGCAAGGACAATCACAGGCAGCAACTTTTGAAGCGCCTCAAAAGTCATTTCTTAATGGGCAAGGAGAATCACAGGCAGCGTTGCACAGCAGTGCAGTCATTGTAGTAAGGGAGATGGAGAGTGACGCGCAGCAGTCAGTCACTCACCTCCCATCCAGGTGACTTTTGAGTCGACTCAAAAGTCACCTGGATGACAGCGTTGCACAGCAGTGCAGTCATTGTGGTAAGGGAGATGGAGAGTGACGCGCAGCAGTCAGTCACTCACCTCCCATCCAGGTGACTTTTGAGTCGACTCAAAAGTCACATGGCAGCGTTGCACAGCAGTGCAGTCATTGTAGTAAGGGAGATGGAGAGTGACGCGCAGCAGTCACTCACCTCCCATCCCGGTGACTTTTGAGTCGACTCAAAAGTCACCTGGATGACAGCGTTGCACAGCAGTGCAGTCATTGTAGTAAGGGAGATGGAGAGTGACGCGCAGCAGTCAGTCACTCACCTCCCATCCAGGTGACTTTTGAGTCGACTCAAAAGTCACCTGGATGACAGCGTTGCACAGCAGTGCAGTCATTGTAGTAAGGGAGATGGAGAGTGACGCGCAGCAGTCACTCACCTCCCATCCCGGTGACTTTTGAGTCGACTCAAAAGTCACCTGGATGACAGCGTTGCACAGCAGTGCAGTCATTGTAGTAAGGGAGATGGAGAGTGACGCGCAGCAGTCACTCACCTCCCATCCCGGTGACTTTTGAGTCGACTCAAAAGTCACCTGGATGACAGCGTTGCACAGCAGTGCAGTCATTGTAGTAAGGGAGATGGAGAGTGACGCGCAGCAGTCACTCACCTCCCATCCCGGTGACTTTTGAGTCGACTCAAAAGTCACCTGGATGACAGCGTTGCACAGCAGTGCAGTCATTGTAGTAAGGGAGATGGAGAGTGACGCGCAGCAGTCACTCACCTCCCATCCCGGTGACTTTTGAGTCGACTCAAAAGTCACCTGGATGACAGCGTTGCACAGCAGTGCGGTCATTGTGGTAAGGGAGATGGAGAGTGACGCGCAGCAGTCACTCACCTCCCATCCCGGTGACTTTTGAGTCGACTCAAAAGTCACCTGGATGACAGCGTTGCACAGCAGTGCGGTCATTGTGGCAAGGGAGATGGAGAGTGACGCGCAGCAGTCACTCACCTCCCATCCCGGTGACTTTTGAGTCGACTCAAAAGTCACATGGCAGCGTTGCACAGCAGTGCGGTCATTGTGGTAAGGGAGATGGAGAGTGACGCGCAGCAGTCACTCACCTCCCATCCCGGTGACTTTTGAGTCGACTCAAAAGTCACATGGCAGCGTTGCACAGCAGTGCGGTCATTGTGGTAAGGGAGATGGAGAGTGACGCGCAGCAGTCACTCACCTCCCATCCCGGTGACTTTTGAGTCGACTCAAAAGTCACATGGCAGCGTTGCACAGCAGTGCGGTCATTGTGGTAAGGGAGATGGAGAGTGACGCGCAGCAGTCACTCACCTCCCATCCCGGTGACTTTTGAGTCGACTCAAAAGTCACCTGGATGACAGCGTTGCACAGCTGTGCGGTCATTGTGGTAAGGGAGATGGAGAGTGACGCGCAGCAGTCACTCACCTCCCATCCCGGTGACTTTTGAGTCGACTCAAAAGTCACCTGGATGACAGCGTTGCACAGCAGTGCGGTCATTGTGGTAAGGGAGATGGAGAGTGACGCGAAGCAGTCACTCACCTCCCATCCCGGTGACTTTTGAGTCGACTCAAAAGTCACCTGGATGACAGCGTTGCACAGCAGTGCGGTCATTGTGGTAAGGGAGATGGAGAGCGAAGCAAAGCAGTCACTCACCTCTCATCCCACCCCTCCACCTGCTGCAACAGCCACTGCCACTGGCAACGCTTTATGCGCCTGAGAACCTTTTCATGCCTCAAAAAGTAGGCTCAAAAAACGGAAGAAGAAAGCAGTCACTCACCTCCCACCCCTCCACCTGCTGCAGCAGCCACTGCCACTGGCGGGATCTGAGAGGGTTGGGAAGGGAAAACCGGGAACGGAAGAGGGGGGGGATGCGGGAGTGAGGAGCAAGAAGGGAGGAGAGAGACGAGAGGAGGGAGATGGGATGAGAGAGAAGAGAGGAGAGATAAGGGATGAGACAGAAGGGGACAGAGAGCAGGGAGGAGAGAGAAGGTACAAGAGAGAAAGGAGCTGAGAGATGGGTGGGGGAGAGATCAGAGAGGACAAAGAAGGGATGGGGAAGCGAAGAGGAGAGGGCAAAAAATAGAAAGAACTAAGGAAGAAAGAACTAAGGAAAACTGCAGCCTTCAGCACTGGAACTACTCTCTCCCTCGCCTGTTCCCTTTAACCCCCTTCCCTCTCAGCCCATCCATCCCACCCCCTCCCTTTCATCCCTCCCCTCTCACCCCTTCCATCTCACCCCTTCCCTTCCCTCTCACCCCTTCCCTCTCACCCCCAACAGATATTGCAGTCCCCTGGATCCTGGGATGCGCTTGCTCAGTCGCGGCATCACTGCATAATCACAAGGGGAGAGCCAGGGGGGAATGGGGAGCCAGGGGGGGAGGGGGAGCCAGGGGGGAAGGGGGGAGCCAGGGGGGAAGGGCGGAGCCAGGTGGGAGGGGAAGGGCGGAGCCAGGGGCGGAAGGGGGAGCCAGGGGGTACGAGGGGGGAAGGGGGGAGCCAGGGGGACGGGTAAGGAGAGTAGAGTAATTGTGTCTCCTCACCCAACTTGGGCTGATTTGCATTGCATCCCAGGCATAACTGTGACATGCATGCAGGTTGTTTTGAGTCGACTCAAAACATGTAGGTTGTTGAGAATTGTTGCAAACCAACGTGTCCCAACCATGGCTGTGAGGCATGGGTGGGCAGCACAACCATGGCTGTGAGGCATGGGTGGGCAGCACAACCATGGCTGTGAGGCATGGGTGGGCAGCACAACCATGGCTGTGAGGCATGGGTGGGCAGCACAACCATGGCTGTGAGGCATGGGTGGGCAGCACAACCATGGCTGTGAGGCATGGGTGGGCAGCACAACCATGGCTGTGAGGCATGGGTGGGCAGCACAACCATGGCTGTGAGGCATGGGTGGGCAGCACAACCATGGCTGTGAGGCATGGGTGGGCAGCACAACCATGGCTGTGAGGCATGGGTGGGCAGCACAACCATGGCTGTGAGGCATGGGTGGGCAGCACAACCATGGCTGTGAGGCATGGGTGGGCAGCACAACCATGGCTGTAAGGCATGGGTGGGCAGCACAACCATGGCTGTGAGGCATGGGTGGGCAGCACAACCATGGCTGTGAGGCATGGGTGGGCAGCACAACCATGGCTGTGAGGCATGGGTGGGCAGCACAACCATGGCTGTGAGGCATGGGTGGGCAGCACAACCATGGCTGTGAGGCATGGGTGGGCAGCACACTCTTTTCAGGTGAGAGAGAGAATGCCAATGGGGTGGTTGTAAATGGGGTTCTTGGCACGGCATGTAAGTAGACGACTATTGAGGAGAGCCGGGCTGCGAGCTTTCTGAGAGCCTGAGAGCCTGCGAGCCTGAGAGCCTGCGAGCCTGCGAGCCTGAGAGTGTGCATGTGGAATGTGAGCCTGCATGTGGAATGTGAGCCTGCATGTGGAATGTGAGCCTGCATGTATGTGGAATGTGAGCCTGCATGTGGAATGTGAGCCTGCATGTGGAATGTGAGCCTGCATGTGGAATGTGAGCCTGCATGTGGAATGTGAGCCTGCATGTGGAATGTGAGCCTGCATGTGGAATGTGAGCCTGCATGTGGAATGTGAGCCTGCATGTGGAATGTGAGCCTGCATGTGGAATGTGAGCCTGCATGTGGAATGTGAGCCTGCATGTGGAATGTGAGCCTGCATGTGGAATGTGAGCCTGCATGTGGAATGTGAGCCTGCATGTGGAATGTGAGCCTGCATGTGGAATGTGAGACGGGTGCACATCACACTCTTTTCAGGTAAGCAAATGCAAAGGTTATAAAGGGGAGCCTTGGCATGGCATGGCATGACATGGCAGTACCTGCGTTGAATGCATACACGGACGCGATGGTTCCTCCCATGGCCGTGCCGAGCTGATGGGGGTGCAGAGAGAGAAAGAGTGGGAGGGGTGAAGTACAGCAAGCGGGCAGCAGGCAAGCAAGCATGCATGTGATGTATGTAACTTGCAGGAAGCAGGCACCTGCCGTGGAGAGGCAAAGACAAGTCAGAGGCAAAGAGGCAGGCAATAAGCAGGATGGGCAGGGATAGGATTGGGGAGAAGGCACTCACACGGAAGTCAACATGCGCCATGCCCCATCAGCCATGCGCCCGCCCCTCCCCGCCCCTCCCCTCCCCGCCCCGCCTCTCCCTTCCCCTCCCCTCCCCGCCCCTCCCCGCCCCTCCCCTCCCCTCCCCCCCCCCCTCCCCCCACCCTCCCCATCTCACCGTGGCAAGGCTATCCTGCATGAAGGGCGCCATGCGCCATCCCCATGCGCCATCCCCATGCGCCATCCCCATGCGCCGTGCACCATGTGCAATGGCCCCCCCTCTCCCCCCCCGCCCCCCATCCCACCCTCCCCATCTCACCGTGGCAAGGCTATCCCGCATGAAGGGCGCCATGCGCCAACCCCCTCCGCTCATCCCTCCGCCTCCCCCTGTCCGCGCGGAAGCTCCCCCAAGGCCTGGGGCGCCTACTGCTGCGCCATCCGCGCCTGTTGCGCGGGTCTGGATGATTGGAAGAAGCGGCGGAATGAAGAAGGGGGGGATGAGGGAGGAAGCATGATGTGAGGGGGAAGGGAGGAAGAGGAGAGACGGGAAGGCGGGGAGGTGGGGTGGGGGGGGGGGGGGGGGGGGGGGGGGGGGGGGGGGAAGGCGGAAAGGATGAAAGATTGGAAAGAAACGCGAAGAAACGAAAAGAAACGCGGAGAGGCGAAGGGAGGAGAAGGAACGTGAAGTGTCAGGCTGATTTTCGTCAAGACATCGGGAGGAGAGAAAAACGAATGTTACCTGGTTGGCTCTTTCTGGCCGTCGCCACAACAAACAGAGAAAGATACGCTTCGCACAGCACCAACCGTTGGTGACGTGACAACGCGGTTGGCAGGCCATGCGTAACGATAAAAACGTTTTTCTGTTACCGATCTCGTAGGTAAGTCGTTTTCAGTTAACGATCACTTGAAAAAGGCTTACGGTAGGCTGCGGGACGGATATCGGCGCGGCGCATTGCGGGCAGCGCAAGGTGGCGGAGGCGGAAGAGGCGAGCGACGGCGGAACGAAGGCCGCGGAAGGGTCCCGCGCAACGAGGTGGCGCATGCGGTCCTCGGGGGAACTGACCCCCGCCATGTGCGCACACCGAGATGGAGAGGGGGAAAATGCAAGGGCGTAGGCACGAGGATGCGCGAATCGCGGTGGCTCAGGGGTATAAAACATGAGACGGATTTTAGAATTTTAGGGCGCAACAGAAATGGATGCGAATATCGTAACGTCATCGAAAAAACTATACATTTGATTGTTGATGAGATCCGTGTAGGTCTGTAACATGTGCGAAGCGACGTAGTATTTCGCAGCTTTCGACTGAGAGCATTACGGGAAAGGTTCGCTCTAATCATATCATAGCTGCTAATACGGCTCATAGAACAATTTGCATTCTGCATAAGTCCAAAACAATACAACAAACCACACCAAAAAGAATGGAAGATCGCATGCCTACTGTACAGCCAACAGCAGGCATCGGCCCGAGTGAAGCATCACACAAAATGGCAAATTTTTGCTGCCAAATGGTTTCGCCACAGCGACTCCTGAACAAAGTCGCTTGGCTGAGCCAGCACCAGCTCTCAACCCTCAACTGCCGTGGCAATAGATGCTCAAACTTTGACCCACTGACTCCATCAGGCTGACGCAGCAACAAAATTGGTGGTAAGGTGAGCTCCACTAGAGCAGCTCCTCTGAAGTGACACCATCGCCGCACTTGCACTCGCACTTCCACCCGCAGTAGTCATCGAACGCTCACTGGTCGACCCATCATCTTTCTTCTTTTCCACACACCCGCCTGTTCCCGAGTCACCCATCACTGCGGCAGCTCCAGAGGGCAGTGCGCCCTCTCCAGCAGCAGTAAAAGCATAAGAAGCACTGGCAGCACCAGTAGCACCAGCAGCACTGGCAGCACTAGCAGCATAAGAAGCACCAGCAACACTGGCAGCACCAGTAACACTGCCAGCAAGTTGCTGCACTCCCACAATCCCCTCGGCAGACTGAAGCGTACGTGTCACTGCTGCCTGGGCGTCAGCACTGGCAGCACCAGCAGCACCAGCACCGACAGCACTGGCAGCAGATTGTTCAGATTGTTGGACCTCAACAACCCCCTCAGCAGACTGCAGCGTGCGCGTCGCTGCTGCCTGGGCGTTAGCACTGCCAGCGCCAGCAGCACCAGAAGCACCAACAGAGCCACCAGCACCTACAGCACCAACAGCATGGGCAACTGTAGCAGCATGTTGCTCCACTTCCACAACCCCTTCAGCAGACTGTAGCGCACGCGTCGCTGCTGCCTGGGCGTCGGCTCGCCGAGCAGCAACAATGTCAACCTTACGATGCTTCTTCCCACAACCACTCAACGGGCTCATTGCAGGTTGTATGGCAGGGCTTATGACAACAACCTCCTCATCCAACCCCTCCTGAACCCTCTCCTGCACTTTCTCCTGATCCTGAGCTTTCTCCTGAACCTTCTCCTGAACCCTCTCCTGAATCTTCTCCTGCGCTACTGCTACACCCCCGTTTCCACTTCTCCCTTGCCCTCCCTCTACCGTCCCTCCCTCAACACACTCCTTCACCTTCTTAATTTTCCTTAAACCCTGAACCTCCCTCCTCCTAAGCTCCCCTGCCTCAACCCCGTCTTCAGCGCTACAACCCCCCTCACCACCCTCCCCGCTGCGCCGTTCCCGCATCTGCACGATCTTCCGGTGCAGGTTCGAGTGCAGCTTCGGCGAGAACCCAGGGCTGTTGGCGGGGCGATACTCGGGGCACAGGCGCCCGGACTTGAAGCGCACGCCGCACGCGTTGCAGAGCGTCTTCGCGCCCAGCGGCCCCGTGCGCCACTGCGGGGTGGTGGTCGTCGAGCAGTGTGAGCACCGCCGCGAGGGGAACGCGCCGGCGGCAGCAGCGCCAGGAGAAGCAGGCGCGTCAGCGGAAGCGGCGGAGGGAGCAGGAGTAGCAGCGAATGCGGAGGAGGTGGCGGCAGCGTGCAGCCTGAAAACACTCGTCTCCATCCCCGGCGAAAGGAAACCACCGGGTGAATTCCCCTGCGAAATTGGCGATGGCGCGGGGATGACGGGGAGGCTTCGGCGCTTCGCGGGGCGAGGGGAAGGCGGGGAGAGGAGGTACGCAACGAGGGGGGAAGACCATGGGCGCTTATTATTCGCCCCCTTTCTGTCCTCGTTCCTGCCTGCGCAAATTGCACCTTCTTCAACGCGGCAATGACATTCAGCGGTCTTTTCGTTGCTTGGCGACACGACAGCAGCGCTGCCGTCGACGGGGTGTCGACTCGCAAGATGATCTTCTGCGCCGCTGGTGGCACCGCCGTTGCTTCGCCCGTCAACGCCGCTCGTTGCACCAGGAGCATCGTTTGCACCATTCGCTCCGTTCGCTGCACCGATCACGCCGGTCGTAACATCCGCGACGTTCGCGGCGTTTGGAACATCCACTACGTTCGCAGCGGTCGCACCAGTCGCAGCGTTCCTCGGTTCGCCTGTGCGATCAACCACCGGCTTCAGCGTCGACTCAACCAGTTCCAATCGATCGAACTTGAGCGTCTCCGCCACTCCTCCTTCGCGCTTCACGCTGAACGGTCTGCTTTCGCTTCGGCGACGTTCGCAGTCTCCAACGACGCAAATTTCGCCAATCTCGCCGACTTCGACAACCTCGCGAACCTCCAGCGCCGCCTCTCCCGCGCCGCCCTCGTTCTTCCTCCCGTCATGGCCGCAATCGCAACCGCCTCGAGTTGTCCCACGCGCGCTGCGAGCTCGCTTGCCATAGATCCCGCCGTCCGTCAGCAGGCGATCCAACGCTCGGCGCGCAGCCGCGCTGTCGCGCCGGAAAACTGGGGCCTCGCGAAGTTTCTGGCCGTGTTTCTGCTTGAGCGAGTGAGCGTGCTTATACTTGCTTTTGTACTTGTGCTTGTGCTTGTAACGCGGGTGCTCGCGATGGTGGAAGGGGTGACACTGCTGCGGCGGCGGGAGAGCGGCGGGGCTGCTGAGGTTACTGCTGCTGGCGATGCTGATAGGCAGGGTTGGGAAGAGAATCGCATCCAGCTCGTCGAGATCGTCACTCTGCACGCGAAGGAACAAGCGAGGATACAGAGCACAAAAAAATCAAGAGAAGAAGAAGAGACGAGAAGAAGCGCTAACAAAGGGCGATAGAAAAGACAGGGAGTTTAAAAAAAAAAAAACAAACAAACAAACAAACAAAAACAACAACAACAACAACAACAACAACAAAAAACAAAAAAAAAAAAAACAAAAACAAAAACAAAAACAAAAACCACAAGAAGCTTGTTAACAGGAACCGACGAGGTATGCGAAAGGCGGGTTTATTTTAGTACATAAAAGATATACAGCAAAACCCTGCCTCAACCACAAGCACTCACCGGGACGGCAAGAGGCGATTCTTCGCTCTCGTGAAAAGCACTCAGTGGCGCCAGTCCATCCAGAAACCCCTCGCCCTCCGCCGTCAGTCCGTCCTCGCCGGGCAAAAACGGCGAGAAGAGCATTGCAGACGACGGCGTTTCGAGACCGTCTTGATTCAACGAACCGCTGAATTCCGCAGAAACATCGGGAAGCTCGAGAGGATCCATCGGCAAGGCAGTCGGGGCGACAACCTCACGAATTTCGCCGATGTCGCCAGCTTCGTCACCGGACAGAATTAGGAGGTCGTCTTCCCATGCCTCGAGCTCCACCGTCTGAAACAAGACACAGAAACGTTGCCCAAATAACGTTCTAAATCACGCCGCCTTGTGAACGAATAACTGGGTCTAAAGCCGCACGACGCGAGTCTAAAAAAACGTTTACAACACGCAATTGAACAGAGGGCCGAAATTGCAAGGACTTACCAGTTCAGACACCTCAACGAGGGGAGGTTCTGGAAACTTGCTCGAAGGTGACCTCTGGTTATCAGTCTGATTGATCGTGACGGGCCCAAGAGCCGAACTGGAACCAGCGACATCAGCCATGTCTGCTTGACAGTAACGAGATTCCGTCCACGACTTGCAGGTGACAACCTCGGCCGGCTATGTCCAAGAATTGCCGCTAACGAGGGTCATGGACCGGCGCGCAGCCGACTGTAGGAGCGTGCAGTCAGAACGAATGCGCGCGGCTTCGGCTGAGTTGCAAGTCGAGGTTCCTCGTTTCGAATTCGTCAACCCAGCTGTTCAAAGCTGGTGAGAGCAATTTGGCTCTCGTTTTGTGCCGTCAGTCAGTTTCTCACTTTCAAAACCAATTCGTCCTCCCTTCGCTGTACAGTCTCCCCTTGTTTGGAAATGTTTTGCAAGTCTGCGCAAGGAGCAGCAAACAGAAAGACGGAATCCGGAATCTTTGTGTGAATTCCCCGCCGCTCTTCCCCCGCTCACCTCTCGTATCCCCCACCAAACTTTCCCCCTTTCCCCCGTGTACACTCCCCCACCCCTTCACTCCCCCCCCCCCCCTTCCCTTCCCTCTTCCCCCCCACCCCACGACACATCCCTCGCCCTTCTACTGTTTACCACCCACCGTCACACAAGGACTGGGAGAATGTGAGGGGGAAGGCGGAGGTTTAGGGATGGCGGCGGCGGAAGGAGGGGTACAGTACAGTATGGCGGTTGTAAGAACGGAGGCTGCACGCCCTAGATCCCGTCAGGGGTACAGCGTGGCAGAACAAGATTCGTCACAATAGCGCTTACGTCTCCGCTTAGCGGAACCCTGACAAAAGGGAAGCGCGGGGAGGAGAACTTTCTCCGCGCTGGGAAATTGGCCCAAATCTCACGCAACCCCCGCAAGCTTCCGCGAGGGTAGTCCGGGGACTCTTCCTTGGGGACTGGTTTGGTGAATGTTGTCATGGCTCTCTGATTGGTGGATTTGAGTTCCTCGCTTTCGCGCGCTCAGTCTCTCTCCTGGGGAACTGTTTCTGTGTCTTTTCCGCGGTGGGTGTTTCTCAGCCGTGAAGCCAATCATGCGAAAGATCGGCGAGTCCGTTCGCGAAGCATGGAGAACCAGATTGCGTGGTGGCGAAAGACAGCTGATCTGTGTCGCGTGGAGTTCGATGCTCGGAAATGCGCCTCGAGCATGTCTCGCTTCTTGGAAGCCTCCACGCGAAGCCATCCACCTCATTTTCGAAGAGCAGAGACGGAGAGATCCCCAGGAACTGCCAGCTCAGTCAGTGCTGATTCGACAATCCAGCTGACGGGGTCAGCGTTCTGCCTTTTGGGGCTGATATTTATCATTGGCCCTAGAAAGCTGCCCCGCCGTTGGGAAAAGTGGATGGCACAGGTGCTGGAAGTAGCTTCATACCCCGCCGTTGTTGTTTGATTCACAAATACATTATCTCTGCTAGTAACCGAGGTTTCTGTATGGTATGATGAGCATGCTTAAAATGAGTAGTATGGTGGGACACGATGATCGCCTTGCCTTCGCCGAAATCTCATGGCAACAGCCTGACATTCTAGAACATCCTCAGCGCCGTCCCTGGCTAGAGACTACAGCGCCGGCCCTGGTACACCTAGCCCGCGCCATTTTCAATCCCCCCAATTTCAAAAGGTTTGTCGCCACCTCTGGGGGTGGGGGCAAAACTGAACAGTAACAAGGCATATTTGCGGTCTATATGCACTGACGCGTCAGCAGCATTCCCAACTCTTTGGAGAGACAGAATTCAGACTGGACGCGAAAATGATGTGTAGGTTTTGGTCAGAAATCTGCCACACACGTGGAGGGCAAATCCGCCCTGTCAGCACTTGCAGCCAGGTGCTGACTCACTGCACAAATATCCCACGGGCAAGTGGCAAAATCGCGGCTCGGTACCGTCTTTTTGAAATTAGCGCGGGCTAGGTGTAGCCAACGCAGTTGCCTAATGGGCGACTGGTTACCACCTGGGCAAGATGCGCTGAATGTTGTTGCATACAAAATGGATGTACTCTGCGCTTATATGTATATCCATGGCCGCTGCTACCAGGGTCTTGTCGTTTTCGCGCGCTGTCGTCGTTTCTCTGCCCCCCTTAGCTAGTTCACCGCGTGTTTCTAGCCGCGTGCTCGCCATGGCCTCCGCCAGCAAGACCAAGATATATGGTCTGAAGCTCTCGACTTGCACGAAACGGGTTCTTACAGCTCTAGAAGAGAAGAATGTTACGGTACGACTCGGAGTATAATCTCATGGTAGTCGTAACGTCGTAGCGCCGTTGAGTTTCTTACCTTCAACTATCAATGTTACATGCTCTGCAGGACTATGAATTCGTGACAATAGATTTGTCCAAGGGCGAGCAGAAATCGGCCGAGTTCAAGAAGAAACAGGTCCGTGATAGAGCCACCCCGCCGCATCACAGACATTGCAAATCTAGGTTTATTGATTCCTGCAAATTAACGCGCTAGTTTTTGTTTCTGAAACCTAATTGTTCTTCCTGCAGCCTTTCGGCGTCATTCCTGTGCTGGAGGACGAGGATGTTGAGCTCTTTGGTAAGTACAAAGCAAAGCAGTACAGAAATAATATTTTCAGTGTCGTTTCCCAATTTCGTCAATGATGCTTACGTGCTCGTTCGTGACGCTTCAGCGAATCTTATGCCTGCTTTTTTCCGCCACAGAATCTCGAGCTATTGCACGATATGTGGCTGACAAGTACGCTGAACAAGGCACAAACCTCCTCGGTTCCACCCTTAAGGCAAGACCCTATCGCCTTTCAGAGCCTTCAATAATTTCGTCAGTCTGATGCTCCACAGCGTGGAGTCCACACGATGCTGTAGTTGTCACTCGTACTAGACCTAGGCACACGCTGTACGAGTCTTTCATGGCTTAATCTACTTGCATGTGTGCAACAGGAGCGTGCCCTGGTGAATTTGTGGCTGGAAGTGGAGTCTCAAAACTACAACCCCCCTATTTCTGGGCTGATAGCTGAGAAGATTTTCAAGCCTAGGAAGGGACTGGCCACAGACGAGGCCAAGGCAGCGGAATACAAGGCGAAGGTACGTTCATCTGGAGAGCTTTCCGTTGTCCCTCTTTTCTTCCTTGGCATGTCCGTACCGTATCATGAACCCGCCCTGGCCTTTCTTCTCTCTGCACCTGTCTGCCCTGCACAATACACCACCTCATCTTCTTACTCTCTTTTTTACCTTTCCCCTCCCCCCCCCCTCCCCCACACCCCCCTCCCCCCTCCCCCACTCCCCCTCCCCCCCTCCTTCCCTCTGGTCTTAATCTACAGCTCTCTCAAGTCCTTGACGTGTATGAGGCACGCTTGGCTTCAAACGACTACCTGGCTGGCTCCTTTTTTTCCCTGGCGGATCTGGTCCATCTGCCGTACACTGCCATGCTCTGGGTGTCCGGTGATTCTGATGTGATAACATCACGGCCTAACGTGAACAAGTGGTGGGAGCGAATCTCGTCTCGTCCATCATGGCAGAAAGTCTTCGCCATGAAGTAAATGTGTACATACATTATCTAGTGTTGTTAGCAAATCAGCGGCTGATTTGAAAGGTGGCCCATAGTGTGAGGTGGAGATAGGAATGACCCATGTACCGTAGTTTCTGCTTGCCAAATTATATACCAGTACTACTGGTGCATTGTATACTTGCAAGTTGAGAGTTTGCAGTCATTACTTACTAATGTGGCTGCTGCAGCCAAGTCATTCTTTGCCAACGAGCGAAACAGCCTTTTTCGAAACAGCATCACGTGGCCATAGATGCAGGCACCACACAGATAGATTGCTCCTCACCACACGTAGGCACGCGCCTCGCCTCCTCGCAGGCGCGCCACCACGCCTCCGCGCCTCCTCGTCTCCGCGCTGGCTCTCCTCCTCGTAGGCGCGCCTCCGCGCCTCCGCTCTCCGCGCCTCGTCGCCTCCTCTCCTCACAGGCGCACGCGCCTCTCCGCGCCTCTTCACCTCCTCGCCACATCGCCTTTGCGCCACCTCGTCTCCGCGCCTCCTCCCCTCCGCGCCTCGTCGCCTCCTCCCCTCCGCGCCTCGTCACCTCCTCTCCTCCTCGCCTCCTCGCCTCCGCGACCTCTCGGCTTTAAGAACCTGAGTAGGTCTTGCGCATTCACTAAATTGTAGGGACATTGCCACCCGGAGCCTACCTTTATGGCTGCTAATATCCGGATCGCGATTCCAGCCACCCAGCTCTCGATTCCCCACGTTTCTCCCTTCAGCGCTGCTCCGAGTACTAGAGACACGGTTCCAGTGTTGGCTATCCTGCCAGCTATCAGTCGCACACGGCGGAAAAATAGTTTTCCTAAAAACCACGCGGGTTTTGCCTCCTTGGAGTTCGCAAGCATGAAGAACGCATTCGTTAGAGGAACAGACGGCGGCTCCTTCAATACTGTCACCCATTCTGATCATGCAACGACAGCAGCGCTGACACATGATGGTCAACGACGGGCGGTGGTTGCGGCCGCAGGCGGACCTGCAACGAATTCAGCCGTCACAAGTGACGTTCCGACTGGCGATTTGGCTGGCCAGACTATCGTTGTAAGCCGCTGGACGTCCGAGACATTACTGGTGTTCCTTCCAGCAGATTTCCTCTGATTCTTTCATCCTCGCACGGACTAATCGCCTCTGAATTCGTTCCCGTCTCAATGTCCTACAAGCATTTCCGAACCATTGCTCTTTATTGACTAGTTTTGAGGCGCCTCAAAACTGTCCTACAAGCATTTCCGAACCATTGCACTTTATTGACAGGTTTGCCTGCGGCCTGCGAAGAATCTCTCAGCCTTCCTCTCTGGTTCCCCCCTCAAGCTCTTTTCTTTCACACTCCTCCCTCTCACATTCCTCCTTCCGCCCCCGTGTTACTTCCACCCAAAACTCTTCCTCCTTTCAGGTGGTAGGCCTGGGAGCATCAGGCAGAGTTGTGAGATGCTCAAGGTTCAGGGTTTGGAGTTTACGCTCCGCACGCTTTTCACGCTCTTCCCTCGCCCATGCTCCTCCCACCCAAAACTCTTCCTCATTGCAGGTGGTAGGTCTGGGAGCATCAGGCAGAGTTGTGACATGTGGTCTTAAGACTCTCTCACACTTTGCACTCTTGTTTCTCCTCCCGCCCACCACTCTTTCCCCCTCCCAGGTGGTAGGTCTGGGAGCATCAGGCAGAGCAGCAGCGCGCCTGGGTCTACCAAGAGGTGCTGCTGCTGTGATCGGACTGGACAGGCAGGAGGACAGATGCCCAGGCACTCCCTCACCCATGCTCCTTTCACACACCACTCTTTCCCCCTCCCAGGTGGTAGGCCTGGGAGCATCGGGCAGAGCAGCAGCGCGCCTTGCTCTAGCGCGGGGAGCTGCTGCTGTGATCGGTTTAGACAGGAGGACAGATGCCAAGGCACTAGAGGTGCGTGTGTGGTTGCTGATACCATAAGATATGCTCATGCGTTGGGTGTGTGTGCATGCTCCAGAACCCACCTCCTTTCCTCCACTTATCTCCCGCCTCTCCACCCATCTAGACCCGCACCCCCTCCCCCCCCTCCTCCCTCTCCTCTCCCTCCCACCCATCAGGACGATCCAAGCATCTGGGACGGACTTCCGGACCCTGCCTCTTCTCTCCCCTCATCTCTCCCTGCCTCCTCTCTCCCCTCATGCATTTTGAATCGACTCAAAATACACCTGGACAAGCTGACACACGGATTGTTATCTGGGACGGACTTCCGGACCCTGCCTCTTCTCTCCCCTCATCTCTCCCTGCCTCTTCTCTCCCCTCATCTCTCCCTGCCTCTTCTCTCCCCTCATCTCTCCCTGCCTCTTCTCTCCCCTCATCTCTCCCTGCCTCTTCTCTCCCCTCATCTCTCCCTGCCTCTTCTCTCCCCTCATCTCCCGCCTTTCCACCCATCTGGGTCCCCACCCCCTCCTCCCTCTCCTCTCTCGCCCACCCACCAGGACGATCCAAGCGTCCGGGACGGACTTCCAGACCCTGACCCCTCTCCTCCCACCCCACCCATCCCCTCACGCTCACTTTATGCAGTTTCTTTACCATCTGATTGTGCGTGTAACTAAGTGACGGAAGACGCGTCTAGCGTCTTAGACGGTTGCGTCTAGACGCAGCGTCTAAGACGCTAGACGCATTTCCGCCTAGGTTAGACGCATATTAGACGGAAACCCGGGCAGGCCTAACAAAAAAGTTTGGGCAGCATAAAAAAACTTCTGAGGTCCATGGGGAGGGTGGGGGACATGCACATATAGCACATTTGGGTCAAATTTCCGCCATACCAAAAGTTTTTCCCCATACTTAGAGTTCACAAAAATCGTCATTTCTCATCATACATAGTTAGGTAACCACGTCTCTCTAGCAGTAGCAAACACGATATAAATAGCTACTACTACATCCCTGCAATCCCTAGGTCTCCTCCTACCTCTCCTCCTCCTCCTCCTCCTCCTCCTCCTCCTCCTCCTCCTCCTCCTCCTCCTCCTCCTCCTCCTCCTCCTCCTCCTCCTCCTCCTCCTCCTGCCCCTCCCACTCATCGAGGCACACGTCGTCCTCGTCCGCATCCACCTCCCCATCGTCCTCCAATTTGTACCCCTCGGGGAGGGGAGGGGGGGTGATGTTCCCCTCCAACACCCCCCCGTCCTTCCCACCACACTAGGCCCTGCGTCATCCGCACCCTTGTGGATGTCGCGCACAACATTCCAGTTGTGCGCGATGTACACAAGGTCGCGGACCTTCTCCGACCCGAGGCGGTTCCTGCGCGCCGTATGCACGCCATCCCAAGTAGACCAGTTACGCTCGCATGGGGAAGCGGAAACGGTCTGGGAAAGCGTGCGGCGCGCAAGACGCGCCAGGTCAAGGTACTCCCATCCATTGTACTGCCACCACGACATCACGTTCCCCTCCCCCAACTGAATCTTTTTACGCATCTCGATCGCAGTATCAGAGCCGAATTTCCCTTCGCCGTTGATGTAGGCCGTCACCCTCTCGTGCAGCGGCCGCACCGGTCCCTTCTTGCCGCGCGTCTTCCCCCAGTATGTGTCTACGAAGACCTGCTGGCGCTCCAGCCACTCCTGCATGACATTGGTGCACTCCGGGTCCTGTAGAAAGATCCCCTCCTCCTGGTTGGCCGGGTTCAAGATCCGGCCTGCCACGTGGAGGGGGCATGCTAGACTCTCGTCCCAACGCCTCCTCAAATGCTCCCTCACCTTCTCCTTATCCACCCTGCTCAGCTTGCACTCCCTCCCATCCAGCAGCTTATCCAACTCCTCCGTCAGCTGCAGCATGATGTCGTATAGCTGACCCATCATCCCCTTCGCCGTTGAATCCGTCATCCGCATCACGCTGTAGAACAACTCCATCAGCTGCACAAAGAAGTCCACCTTCTTCCACCACACTGGGTCGCTCACCCACCTTTCGAAATCCGACCCCGTCTGCGTGCTCCCCCCCTTCTCCGCCCAGTCCTTGTGCGCCACCATCGCCTGCAGCTGGGGGCGAATGGCGCGCAGATGAGACACTGCGATGTATTGTGTTCCAAAGCGCGTGCCTGCCGGGCGCAGGGCCTACAGCGATTTCTTCTCGCCGTGCAGCTCCGAGAGCCGCAGAAATGCCCGCGTCCACTTGTGCCCGCGCACGAAGGTGATGATATCGTCGGCCTGAGTCACGACCTGCTGCGCCCAGTCCATCTTGCCGATGTCCTCCATCAGCAGGTCTATCACGTGCGTGGCGCAGGGAACGAGGTCGAGATGCGGCCACTCCTTCTGCAGCAGCTTGCCAGCTGCTTTGTAGTTGCTGCCGCCGTCCGTGCACAGCGCGACGACGTGCTCTGCCCCGATGCGCTCGATGATCGGCCGCAGGACGCCAGCAATGAATGTGCCACTCTTCGTCGCAGCCTTGCTGTCAACCGCCTCAACGAATACAGCTCCAGTGTCGTTGATGCATATAACGTTCATCTGCGCGCGACCGCTCTTGTCCTGCATCATGTCGCTGGCGATGGTCACGCCCGTCTCCCTCCACGACTTCGTAACGGGCGACAACGCCTTCTCGATCCGCTGCTTGCAGTCTTGAAGGCCGGCGCCTCCGACGTAGTGCCGCTTGGGGGGGACATATCCCTGGCCGGCTGCGGCGACGGCGCGCAACATGTTGAGGAAGAGCGGGTGCTCGCACTGGCGCTCCGATGTGCGCGTCCCCGCGAGGTAAAGGACAACCGATTCGTCGGCCGCCTTCCTTGCCGCGGCGCCACCCTCGCCGTAGAAATCTTCCATGTGCCCGCGCTTCTTCGCCTTCTCTCCCGCCGCGCTCTTGCCGCTCACCGCCACGAGCGCCGCATCCGTCGCCTTCGCCTTTTGGTTCCGCGCCCGAACCTTCGCTTCGAACATCTCGCGAATCTCTTTCGAAATCTCCTTCGGCACATCCTTGCAAACCACCCCCGCCTCGCGCCGACGGTGGGGATCGTGCCACTCGGCGAGGTGCTCGGGGCAACGGCTACTACTCCAAGCAAAAGTCTTGCCGCAAAACTCACACCCCACTTGGTCACCCTTTTTCTTTGGATCCTTAAAGTAGAAGAAATGCTTGTAGATCGGGTAGTTGGGATACTTTTTCTTCTTCGCAATTCCTTCCATTTCCTTCGAAACACGCGCAAAACAACCCTCCCCCATGGCATCGTCATGCATGGAGGCGGAACTAGACGAAGAACTAGGAGAAGACATGGTTTCAAGAGGGAAGTAGCTCTAAACCCCAAAGGGTTTTTGAAAGAGAATTTGCTAGAAATGCAAGATGGGAAGCACAAATGGGGATTTGTGCTTCCCAAGCTCTTGGTGGTTTGCCATCAAGGGTTGGGTTTTCTAGATGCTAAGCGGTTGAGAGAGGTTTGTGTTCAATTTTGGTTAAGGGAATGTCAATTTTGCTTGGGGGGCTTGTATCTAGGGTCGAAATGGGCGGGAGGGGGTGCAAATGTCGCGAAATTGAATTTCGCCTCGAAATCGCGAAATTCAATTTCGGCCGCGGCGAAATTTTTTTTTTCCGGGCTGCCTGAAATTTTTTCGCCCAAGCGTCTAGCGTCTAGACGCTGCGTCTAGACGCTAGACGCAAGACGCGTCTAGCGTCTTCCGTCACTTAGGCGTGTAACCCCCTCTCTCTCCTCTCTCCTCTCTCTCCTCTCTCTCCTCTCTCCTCTCTCCTCTCTCCTCTCTCCTCTCTCCTCTCTCCTCTCTCCTCTCTCCTCTCTCCTCTCTCCTCTCTCCTCTCTCCTCTCTCCTCTCTCCTCTCTCCTCTCTCCTCTCTCCTCTCTCCTCTCTCCTCTCTCCTCTCTCCTCTCTCCTCTCTCCTCTCTCCTCTCTCCTCTCTCCTCTCTCCTCTCTCCTCTCATCTCTCCTCCTCTCTCTCTCTCTCTCTCTCTCTCTCTCTCTCTCTCCTCTCTCTCCTCTCTCTCCTCACCCACCCTTCAGGATGATCCAAGCATCTGGGACGGACTTCCAGAACCCACCTCCTCTCCCCCTCTCGTCTCCCGCCTCTCCACCCATCTGGGGTCCCACCCCCTCCACGTCCTCCTCTCTGCCTCCCTCGTCGTCCTGTCTCCTGGCGTTCCGCTTTCAGAGCCCACAATAAGCCAGGCTCAGTCTCAGGTACTTCCTCATGCTTCAGGTACTTCCTCATGCTTCAGGTACTTCCTCATGCTTCAGATACTTCCTCATGCTTCAGGTACTTCCTCATGCTTCAGGTAGTTCCCACACGCTTCAGAAGACACTTCATTCAATCCTCCTCTCCCATGACCTCCTCTCCCATGACCTCCTCTCCCATGACCTCCTCTCCTCCCCTCACCTCTCGCCTCTCCCTCCATCTGGGTTTCCACCCCCTCCACCTCCTCCCTCTCCGCCTCCTCCCCCTCCACCTCCTCCCTCTCCGCCTCCCTCCTTGTCCTCTCTCATGGCGTTACGCTTTCTGAAACCACAGTAAGGTAGGCTGTTTTCAGGTTCGAGCTTTTGAGACATCTCAAACGCTCAGAACCCACTATAAGCCAGGCGCCTTCTCGGGTACCACGGGAGACAGCTCCTCGTGTCTTCTCTGGTTTAGCCTTCAGAATTCCTAGAATTGTTACCCACAATTAGCCATCACTTCCTGGTACAACCTCCCACATGCGTCGGTCGGACTCGCCCGCCAACCCCTCTCTTCTCCCTCCCTCTCGTCGCTCACCTCTTGCACAAGTTCTTGGAGCGAAGGGTGTGTGAGAGTTCCTCCCATCAGTCGGTCGTTTTCGCGTCATCCCAACCCAAGCTTTGTTTCTAGTTCCAGCTACTTCAAAATTACCCCACCTTTCCCGCTTTCTTCCTCCCCCACTCCTTGTCCCCTCCCCCCCTTCCCCCTCCTCCCCCCCATTCAGGGCGTGCCGATGCTGTCTGAGCTGGCATTCGCCTATGACAGCCTGCCACCTGGACTGCCCATTGCTGCCGTCACAGGGACCAACGGCAAATCCACTGTTGCCACGTTTGCAGGCCAGGTGATTACGTGGCAGGTGCTGACGTGGAATGTGAGTTCGGTGTAGTCTAGTGTGTAGTTTTGAGTGGTTCTTGTGACTTAGTAAGAAGAGGGAGAGAGAGAGAGACAGCAAGGAGGGGAGCCCGTCCCAGATGCTTGGATCTGGGCGTCCCAGATTGCCTGTACCTCTTTGCTCTGAATGATACTGTCGCCTGACTATTTGAAATGGAATAAACACATGCTGATTCACCTTCACTCATGCCATGAGTCTCATGGTTCGAACGGCTGCAGTACATGGACACATGCTGATTCACCTTCACTCATGCCATGAGTCTCATGGTTCGAACGGCTGCAGTACATGGACACATGCTGATTCACCTTCACTCATGGTTCGAAGGGCTGCAGTACATGGACACATGCTGATTCACCTTCACTCATGGTTCGAAGGGCTGCAGTACATGGACACATGCTGATTCACCTTCACTCATGGTTCGAACGGCTGCAGTACATGGACACATGCTGATTCACCTTCACTCATGGTTCGAATGGCTGCAGTACATGGACACATGCCGATTTCCGCTCTGGTGGTATTATCTCCCCCGGCCATCCGTCTCGGCATCTATCAATTTGCTCCTCAGATCAGATTCTCCCCCTTTCACCCTCCCCTTCCTCCCGTTTCCCCTTTGATGCCCATCTCTTGTTCCCTTCCTTTGATTCTCGAGTCTATTAGCGTCCACTCGTTTGTGGGTGCAGCTTCAGCACACCCCTCTTCCTGGTGACTAAGAGTCGACTCTTTTTTTGGGCACTCTAAAGTGTGTTTTTTTTTTTTTTTTTTTTTTTTTTTTTGTTTAATATGCCTTTCGTTTGTCTCTTCTTCAGATTCTCGAGTCAATCGGAATCCACACGTTTGTGGGCGGCAATCTGGGAACGCCCCTCTCGCTGGCAGCCCTCGATTTTGTCACGTCGGCACAGCGCGGTCACACCGACAGCTCAAAGCCCTTCCAGGTGTGATTGTAGCAGGTGTGATCGTAGCAGGCGTGATTGATTGAGTTGTGAGTGAACTGGGTATAATCACAGCAGTTGTGATTGAGTCAGGTGTGATCGCAGCAGTGGTGGAGGCAAGTTCATGTTTCTCTCGGCCGCCTATCCCAATCATCTCTCCCCTCAATTCAACCATCCACTCCATCCATCTCTCTCCTCCTACCCATCCCATCCATCTCTCTCCTCCTACCCATCCCACCCATCTCTCTCCTCCTACCCATCCCATCCATCTCTCTCCTCCTACCCATCCCACCCATCTCTCTCCTCCTACCCATCCCACCCATCTCTCTCCTCCTACCCATCCCATCCATCTCTCTCCTCCTACCCATCCCATCCATCTCTCTCCTCCTACCCATCCCATCCATCTCTCTCCTCCTACCCATCCCACCCATCTCTCTCCTCCTACCCATCCCATCCATCTCTCTCCTCCTACCCATCCCATCCATCTCTCTCCTCCTACCCATCCCATCCATCTCTCTCCTCCTACCCATCCCACCCATCTCTCTCCTCCTACCCATCCCATCCATCTCTCTCCTCCTACCCATCCCATCCGTCTCTCTCCTCCTACCCATCCCATCCATCTCTCTCCTCTTACCCATCCCATCCATCTCTCTCCTCCTACCCATCCCATCCACCTCTCTCCTCCTACCCATCCCACCCATCTCTCTCCTCCTACCCATCCCATCCATCTCTCTCCTCTTACCCATCCCATCCATCTCTCTCCTCCTACCCATCCCATCCATCTTTCTCGCACCATGATTCTCTCCCCTGTGCAGGCAGCGGTGGTGGAGGTGAGCAGCTACCAGATGGAGTCGCCTGGAAGGTTCCGTCCCAAGGCTGCGGTCATTCTGAACCTCACGCCGGACCACCTGGAGAGGCACGGTGACATGGAGAGCTACGGGGCGGCAAAGTGTCGTCTGTTTGCGCGCATGGGGGAGTCTGACGTGGCAATCATTCCATCAGGTATGCACGATCCTGTTTCTGATTCTAATTCTAATTCTCCTGATTCTGTCTCCGATTCCAATTTCAAACCTAATTCCAGTTCTTCATCTGTTTCTGAGCTCAAAAATCTCCAGAAAGCAGCTCGCATGTTGAGAGAGCCGAACAGTGCGAGTTGACTTTTGAGACGTCCGAAAAGTTATCTTGCTTAGTGAGAGAACCGAGGTGTGCGCTCCCACTTGTCGCTGCCATCCTGTCCCACCCACTTTTGCCGAACAGATGATCCCCTGCTCACGCGAATCTGTTTTGTGAGAATTCTTAAAAGAACAGATTCACTTGTCTCTGCCATCCTGTACCACCCACCCCCCCTGCCACAGATGACCCTCTGCTCACGCGGCTAGCAGGGGAACACCCCAGCATGGCATGGCTGGGGCAGCTACCTGGATGCACTGTGAACCATGCCAGAAGAGTACCTGTTTCCTGTCCTACCACCCACTCTAACCACAGATGACCCTCTGCTCACGCAGCTAGCAGGGGAACACCCCAGCATGGCATGGCTGGGGCAGCTACCTGGATGCACTGTGAACCATGCCAGAAGAGTACCTGTTTCCTGTCCTACCACCCACTCTAACCACAGATGACCCTCTGCTCACGCAGCTAGCAGGGGAACACCCCAGCATGGCATGGCTGGGGCAGCTACCTGGATGCACTGTGAACCATGCCAGAAGAGTACCTGTTTCCTGTCCTACCACCCACTCTAACCACAGATGACCCTCTGCTCACGCAGCTAGCAGGGGAACACCCCAGCATGGCATGGCTGGGGCAGCTACCTGGATGCACTGTGAACCATGCCAGAAGAGTACCTGTTTCCTGTCCTACCACCCACTCTAACCACAGATGACCCTCTGCTCACGCAGCTAGCAGGGGAACACCCCAGCATGGCATGGCTGGGGCAGCTACCTGGATGCACTGTGAACCATGCCAGAAGAGTACCTGTTTCCTGTCCTACCACCCACTCTAACCACAGATGACCCTCTGCTCACGCAGCTAGCAGGGGAACACCCCAGCATGGCATGGCTGGGGCAGCTACCTGGATGCACTGTGAACCATGCCAGAAGAGTACCTGTTTCCTGTTCTACCACCCACTCTAACCACAGATGACCCTCTGCTCACGCAGCTAGCAGGGGAACACCCCAGCATGGCATGGCTGGGGCAGCTACCTGGATGCACTGTGAACCATGCCAGAAGAGTACCTGTTTCCTGTTCTACCACCCACTCTAACCACAGATGACCCTCTGCTCACGCAGCTAGCAGGGGAACACCCCAGCATGGCATGGCTGGGGCAGCTACCTGGATGCACTGTGAACCATGCCAGAAGAGTACCTGTTTCCTGTCCTACCACCCACTCTAACCACAGATGACCCTCTGCTCACGCAGCTAGCAGGGGAACACCCCAGCATGGCATGGCTGGGGCAGCTACCTGGATGCACTGTGAACCATGCCAGAAGAGTACCTGTTTCCTGTTCTACCACCCACTCTAACCACAGATGACCCTCTGCTCACGCAGCTAGCAGGGGAACACCCCAGCATGGCATGGCTGGGGCAGCTACCTGGATGCACTGTGAACCATGCCAGAAGAGTACCTGTTTCCTGTTCTACCACCCACTCTAACCACAGATGACCCTCTGCTCACGCAGCTAGCAGGGGAACACCCCAGCATGGCATGGCTGGGGCAGCTACCTGGATGCACTGTGAACCATGCCAGAAGAGTACCTGTTTCCTGTTCTACCACCCACTCTAACCACAGATGACCCTCTGCTCACGCAGCTAGCAGGGGAACACCCCAGCATGGCATGGCTGGGGCAGCTACCTGGATGCACTGTGAACCATGCCAGAAGAGTACCTGTTTCCTGTCCTACCACCCACTCTAACCACAGATGACCCTCTGCTCACGCAGCTAGCAGGGGAACACCCCAGCATGGCATGGCTGGGGCAGCTACCTGGATGCACTGTGAACCATGCCAGAAGAGTACCTGTTTCCTGTCCTACCACCCACTCTAACCACAGATGACCCTCTGCTCACGCAGCTAGCAGGGGAACACCCCAGCATGGCATGGCTGGGGCAGCTACCTGGATGCACTGTGAACCATGCCAGAAGAGTACCTGTTTCCTGTCCTACCACCCACTCTAACCACAGATGACCCTCTGCTCACGCAGCTAGCAGGGGAACACCCCAGCATGGCATGGCTGGGGCAGCTACCTGGATGCACTGTGAACCATGCCAGAAGAGTACCTGTTTCCTGTCCTACCACCCACTCTAACCACAGATGACCCTCTGCTCACGCAGCTAGCAGGGGAACACCCCAGCATGGCATGGCTGGGGCAGCTACCTGGATGCACTGTGAACCATGCCAGAAGAGTACCTGTTTCCTGTCCTACCACCCACTCTAACCACAGATGACCCTCTGCTCACGCAGCTAGCAGGGGAACACCCCAGCATGGCATGGCTGGGGCAGCTACCTGGATGCACTGTGAACCATGCCAGAAGAGTACCTGTTTCCTGTCCTACCACCCACTCTAACCACAGATGACCCTCTGCTCACGCAGCTAGCAGGGGAACACCCCAGCATGGCATGGCTGGGGCAGCTACCTGGATGCACTGTGAACCATGCCAGAAGAGTACCTGTTTCCTGTCCTACCACCCACTCTAACCACAGATGACCCTCTGCTCACGCAGCTAGCAGGGGAACACCCCAGCATGGCATGGCTGGGGCAGCTACCTGGATGCACTGTGAACCATGCCAGAAGAGTACCTGTTTCCTGTCCTACCACCCACTCTAACCACAGATGACCCTCTGCTCACGCAGCTAGCAGGGGAACACCCCAGCATGGCATGGCTGGGGCAGCTACCTGGATGCACTGTGAACCATGCCAGAAGAGTACCTGTTTCCTGTCCTACCACCCACTCTAACCACAGATGACCCTCTGCTCACGCAGCTAGCAGGGGAACACCCCAGCATGGCATGGCTGGGGCAGCTACCTGGATGCACTGTGAACCATGCCAGAAGAGTACCTGTTTCCTGTTCTACCACCCACTCTAACCACAGATGACCCTCTGCTCACGCAGCTAGCAGGGGAACACCCCAGCATGGCATGGCTGGGGCAGCTACCTGGATGCACTGTGAACCATGCCAGAAGAGTACCTGTTTCCTGTTCTACCACCCACTCTAACCACAGATGACCCTCTGCTCACGCAGCTAGCAGGGGAACACCCCAGCATGGCATGGCTGGGGCAGCTACCTGGATGCACTGTGAACCATGCCAGAAGAGTACCTGTTTCCTGTCCTACCACCCACTCTAACCACAGATGACCCTCTGCTCACGCAGCTAGCAGGGGAACACCCCAGCATGGCATGGCTGGGGCAGCTACCTGGATGCACTGTGAACCATGCCAGAAGAGTACCTGTTTCCTGTCCTACCACCCACTCTAACCACAGATGACCCTCTGCTCACGCAGCTAGCAGGGGAACACCCCAGCATGGCATGGCTGGGGCAGCTACCTGGATGCACTGTGAACCATGCCAGAAGAGTACCTGTTTCCTGTTCTACCACCCACTCTAACCACAGATGACCCTCTGCTCACGCAGCTAGCAGGGGAACACCCCAGCATGGCATGGCTGGGGCAGCTACCTGGATGCACTGTGAACCATGCCAGAAGAGTACCTGTTTCCTGTTCTACCACCCACTCTAACCACAGATGACCCTCTGCTCACGCAGCTAGCAGGGGAACACCCCAGCATGGCATGGCTGGGGCAGCTACCTGGATGCACTGTGAACCATGCCAGAAGAGTACCTGTTTCCTGTTCTACCACCCACTCTAACCACAGATGACCCTCTGCTCACGCAGCTAGCAGGGGAACACCCCAGCATGGCATGGCTGGGGCAGCTACCTGGATGCACTGTGAACCATGCCAGAAGAGTACCTGTTTCCTGTCCTACCACCCACTCTAACCACAGATGACCCTCTGCTCACGCAGCTAGCAGGGGAACACCCCAGCATGGCATGGCTGGGGCAGCTACCTGGATGCACTGTGAACCATGCCAGAAGAGTACCTGTTTCCTGTTCTACCACCCACTCTAACCACAGATGACCCTCTGCTCACGCAGCTAGCAGGGGAACACCCCAGCATGGCATGGCTGGGGCAGCTACCTGGATGCACTGTGAACCATGCCAGAAGAGTACCTGTTTCCTGTTCTACCACCCACTCTAACCACAGATGACCCTCTGCTCACGCAGCTAGCAGGGGAACACCCCAGCATGGCATGGCTGGGGCAGCTACCTGGATGCACTGTGAACCATGCCAGAAGAGTACCTGTTTCCTGTTCTACCACCCACTCTAACCACAGATGACCCTCTGCTCACGCAGCTAGCAGGGGAACACCCCAGCATGGCATGGCTGGGGCAGCTACCTGGATGCACTGTGAACCATGCCAGAAGAGTACCTGTTTCCTGTTCTACCACCCACTCTAACCACAGATGACCCTCTGCTCACGCAGCTAGCAGGGGAACACCCCAGCATGGCATGGCTGGGGCAGCTACCTGGATGCACTGTGAACCATGCCAGAAGAGTACCTGTTTCCTGTTCTACCACCCACTCTAACCACAGATGACCCTCTGCTCACGCAGCTAGCAGGGGAACACCCCAGCATGGCATGGCTGGGGCAGCTACCTGGATGCACTGTGAACCATGCCAGAAGAGTACCTGTTTCCTGTTCTACCACCCACTCTAACCACAGATGACCCTCTGCTCACGCAGCTAGCAGGGGAACACCCCAGCATGGCATGGCTGGGGCAGCTACCTGGATGCACTGTGAACCATGCCAGAAGAGTACCTGTTTCCTGTTCTACCACCCACTCTAACCACAGATGACCCTCTGCTCACGCAGCTAGCAGGGGAACACCCCAGCATGGCATGGCTGGGGCAGCTACCTGGATGCACTGTGAACCATGCCAGAAGAGTACCTGTTTCCTGTCCTACCACCCACTCTAACCACAGATGACCCTCTGCTCACGCAGCTAGCAGGGGAACACCCCAGCATGGCATGGCTGGGGCAGCTACCTGGATGCACTGTGAACCATGCCAGAAGAGTACCTGTTTCCTGTTCTACTACACCCCCA